GATAGAACCGAATGTAGGCTATGCGCCGTGTAGTGTGACTAAACATAGGCGAGGTGCCGTATAATATGACATGAATGTGGGTAATTTGCTGTGTGTTATGGATAAGGGTAGGCTATATGTCGTGTAATACGAATGAATATGGGCCTTGTGCTGGTATCGTGAAATGAATGTGGGCTGATGAATCCATATTTTTACTAGTATATTACTATAGTTTTAATCCATTTGATAAGGAAAATGTGTTGGAAAAAGCAAAAAAAAATTATAAAAATAGAATGATTGAAGAATTTCTTTAAGTACATAGTTAGTTTAGCATTTATGAATTTTCTGTGTAAAAATTAATAATTGAAGTGTGTTTTTGTAGACAATGCTGAGTAAAGACCATGAGGTTGGTAGATCAGTGGAGAAATAGCAGAAAAATAGCAAGTCTGGACTCAAAGAACATGGCTCATAGAGTTTAAGCTGGGCGTGGTTACTCTAGCCAGCGAAAGTGAGTGATTCATAGCTTAAATGAGAAGTTGAGTATGGGCGTGATCACTTTTATCATTGAAAGTGAACGCTTCAGAGAAGTTCAATCTCAGCAAAGTGGTGCGTTGTCACTCTCGCCAACAAAAGTGAACGTTCCAAAGAAGTTTCAAACTCAGCAGGCCTTGCGTAACCACTTTTATCAGCGAAAGTGAGCGTTCCAGAGAAGGCAGAATTTCAGTATACTCTGTGTGGTCACTCTTGCTGGCAAAATTGAGCGTTCCAGAGAAGGCGAAGTTTCAAAGAATTCTGCGTAACCACTTTTTTCATTGAAATTGGATGTTCCAGAGAGTCCTCAACTTGACAAGTTGTGCGTGACCACTTTTACTCATAAAAGTGATTACGCACAACATCGCGACCTTCTGCGTGGTCACTCTTATCAGCAAGAGTGATAACGCCAAGAATCAGAATTTCTATAAATACATGTTTTGAGCTCAGAATTAGGGGTCTTTCATTCGTTTTCCGTTTTTTCTGTTAGATTCTTGTTGGGAGAGAGTGAGAGAGAAGAGTGGGGTCGAACCTCGAAGCTTCAAGAAGAGAGATTGGATTGGAGCTTGTGGCTATGGCTTTTCTGAGTTTTTCTTCTTCTTCTCCTTCTTTCTCTTTCTTTGCCACGACGTCTGTGTAATTCTTTGTAGTTAGGAGTTTATGGAACTCGAATTGATGTATTGATTTGATTCTTGCTTATGAAATTTGAGTATTTGGATTAATTGAGTTGTTAATTCTGCACTTTACATAATCTTTGAAGGGGAATTCATTTGATTAACCTTAGAGGAACATTTGCCAATGGGAATTGGACTTGATTCTCTAATATGAATTAACAACCAGAATTAGGGGTTTCTTAGGGATAAGTACACTTAATTCTGCAATCCTAATATTCTAAGTCTTAATGCAACATGAAATTGAACTTCACCTAAGAGATTAGGATGGTTTAGTTGCTTATTAGAGTCAATGAGTTAAGGAATTAACCTTTGACTATTAATATGCGAAACTGATTGTTAATTAACCAAGTTCTTGAATGTTTAGAGGCATAATTGTATTAATATTGACATTCTTGTGAAGTAAATTCCTAACTATTCTTCATTCCTATCTCATTTCATCACAACTCTATTTTTCTGCAAGTTCTTTACTTTTAATTGCTCTGGTTTGCTGCTATTACATGTTACAACTCTCCTTCCAAATTTGTATGGCTCAAATGGTTATAATTCTGTGAAGTGGTACTTGAAACCTAAATTTCCTGTGGAGACGATATTCGGATCTTAAATTTTTTCATTACTTTCTACAATTCCTAGTGCACTTGCTAGTGTTTAGAATTGTGAACAACAAGTTTTTGGCGCTGTTGCCGGGAATTGAACCCGGGTCGTCCGCGTGACAGCGGAAATACTCACCACTATACTACAACGACTAGCAATCCCATTCTCTGGAACAAAAGGAATTAGGAGTTAAATGGAATAAATTCGGATCTTTTAATTTCTTGGCCATAAGATTTCAGAAAAAGGAATGGAGGTGGACTAAGCAAACGTAGAAGTCATTAGTAAATTGCCTCCACCAATCAATGTTAAAGGAATTAGGAGTTTTTTAAGACATGCTAGTTTTTATAGGAGGTTTATCAAGGACTTTTCTAAAATTGCAAAACCTCTTAGTAATTTACTTGTAAAAGATGCTGAATTCATATTTGATGATGCTTGTTTCATGCATTTTCTATTTTGAAAGAAAAACTGATTTCTGCACCTATTCTTGCAAAACCATATTGGAATTTTCCTTTTGAACTCATGTGTAATGCAAGTGATAGTGCAGTGAGTGCTGTTTTAGGACAGAAAAAGGATAGAAAATTGCATGTCATTTATTATTCTAGCAAAGTTTTAAATCCTGCACAAGTAAATTACACAACAACAGAAAAAGAACTCCTTGCTATTGTGTTTGCCTTTGATAAATTTAGATCATACTTGATGGGTTCAAAAGTAATTGTATATACTGACCATGCTGCACTTAAATACTTGTTGTCAAAGCAGGATGCCAAGCCAAGATTGCTGAGATGGATTTTCTACTGCAATAATTTGAATTGGAAATTAGAGATAAGAAAGGAAAGGAAAACAGGATAACTGACCACTTGTCCAGACTGCCATTGGAAAGTTTGACCCCTAACTCATTGGAAATTAATGAAGAGTTTCCATATGAAAGGCTTCTTGCAGTAGGAGAGATGCCTTGGTTTGCTGACATTGCAAATTTTAAAGCTACTCAATTCATTCCAAAGAGGTTTACCTGGCAGCAAAAGAAGAAGTTCTTACATAACAGCAAATGCTATGTGTGGAAAGATCGTTATTTGTTCAAAATTGGAGTGGGTAGTTTAATTAGAAGGTGCATTCCACAAAGTGAGCAAGCTGATATACTATGGCATTGTCACAATTCAAAATATGAAGGCCACTATGCAAGTTCAAGGATTGCTGCAAAAGTCTTGAAAGCAGGTTTCTTTTGGCCTACACTCTTCAAGGTGCTAAGAAGTATGTTGAAAGCTGTGATAAATGTCAAAGAACTGGAAACATCTCTAGGAGGCATGAGCTACCATTAACAAATATTCTAGAAGTGGAATTGTTTGATGTATGGGGAATTGACTTCATAGGACCTTTTCTTCCATCATTTTCGCATGAATACATCTTAGTAGCAGTGGATTATGTTTCTAAATGGGTAGAAGTCATTCCCACAAGATCAAATGATGCCAAGGTAGTAATATCCTTTATAAGAAAGAACATTTTTGCAACAAATACCTTGAAGCAGTATTGATGAAGTATGGTGTGAAGCACAAGGTTGTTACTCCATATCACCCACAAACAAGTGGACAAGTGGAAGTGTCAAACAAAGAAATCAAGCAGATTTTGGAAAAAATAGTGAATAGTGCAAGAAAAGACTGGTCTAAGAAACCGGATGACTCTCTATGGGCATACAGAACTGCTTTTAAAACAACAATTGGTATGTCACCATATCAATTAGTCTTTGGAAAGGCCTGTCACCTACCTTTAGAGTTGGAGCATAGAGCTTATTGGACTACAAAGTGGTTGAACTTTGATTTACCAAGTGCTGGAAAGAAGAGAATTCTGTAATTACATGAATTGGAGGAATTCAGACAGCAAACTTATGAGAATGCAAAGTTATACAAAGAAAGAACCAAGAGAATTCATGACAAGTTCATTCTGCAGAAAGAATTTAAACCTAGATAGCAAGCATTGTTATTTAATTCTAGGCTAAAACTGTTTCCAGGAAAACTAAGATCAAGATGGTCTGGACCTTTTGTAATAAAAGAAACATCTCCCTTTGGAGCAATTTTGATTGAGGATCAAAAGACAGGGAGAGAATTTAAGGCCAATGGCCAAAGATTGAAGGTTTATCATGAAGAGGAGTTTACAAGAAATATCTTATGTTTGAAACTGGTTCCTCTTGAGTGAGGAACATTTAACGTCAAGCTAGTGACGTTAAAGAAGCATTTTGTGAGAGGCAACTCACATTTCTAACTCATTTTAAGCTTTTTGGATTGTTTTAGGAGTTTGCATTTCATATTCTACAGTTTTTGCAATTTGTAATTCTGCATATTCATTTTTTATAATTCCCTGCAAGTTTTGCTGCATCTGATTTTCTGAAGTAAATATAATAGTTGAGTAGAGATTTGATGTGGTGAATGTGTATTTGAAGGTTTAAAATTCTGCATAATCAAATTTTACAACTTTCTAAAATTTCTGCAATTTGATTCTGCTACATATCTCTGCTGAAGTGAATTTGGTAATTGATTTGAGATTCAATGTTTAGAATGTGTATCTGTCAATTTAGAAATCTGTATAATCATGTTTTACAATTTTATGTAAGTTCTGCAAATATGTTGCTGTAGCTGTTTTTCTGAATTAAATCTTATAATTGATGAAGAGATTTGAGGATTGAGAGAAGTAAATTGATGATTAGAGTGTGAGAAGTGAGTTAATTGAGGTTTTAGAAGAAATTGACTAATGAAAGGAGTCACTTTGCTGCAGGGAAGAACCTACGCAGAGAATGCATTTTGAGTATCTCTGCTGGAACAATCACTTTTATTGACAAAAGTGATCACGCAGAGGCATCAAGGTAAACACGCTCCTTTAGAACACTCAATCTCACTGATAAGAGTGATTACGCAGAGACAGATGGGAAAACTAACTCTCTGGAACGCTTCCTTTTTCTAGCAAAAGTGGCTACGCACAGGTAAGTAGACTTTCAATCTTTGTGCGTTACTCCTTTTATTCAAAAATGTGGTCACGAGGCTGTGCGTTATCACTTTGCCCAGCAATAGTGATAACGCACCCTACACTCTGAGAAATCAACTCTCTGGAACACTCACTCTGCTCAAAAATAGTGATGACACTGAGTGTCTTAAATGTATAACATTCCTTTTTTCTGCTTAAATTTGTCACGTGTCCACGTGTAACTATAAATATAAACCAAAGTGAACACGCACATACCTTTGCACCCAAAAATTCTTCTTCTCTCTGAACGTTTTGTGCGACTGCAAGCTTCCTGTGTCTCGACCTAGCAGTAACAAGCATTTCCCCCATATTTCCCCATCTTCTTCGTTAGGTACACGACCCTCTTCTCTCTGAAATTGCAGGTTAGGGTTTTCTGTATTTATATTCTAAGAAAAATGAAAAAGGGAGTAATAGAAAATTATTTTAAGGTTATTTGATTCAATAATAGCATGAACAATACGCTGAATGAGTTTCTCTATCATTTAAATTTTTTTTTTACAAGAAGATTCGAATTTGCTTTGCTTTGATTGAATTGTTTTTACTGAAAATGATTGGGTTGAAGAACCATGTTGAGAAATTAGTTGAAAACTGGAAATATTATTCTCTGCTACCCTGTTTCGTTGCAAAAGTGAATGCATTTTGAACTTCCAAATTAGAATTTCTCTGAATTTGATTGTTTAAGATTGTGCAGTTGTATGTTCTGGTTTTAAAGTTAGAAGAAAATCTCAGATGAATAATGGGACATTGTTCTGATTCTTTTTGATTTAACAATAGGATAAGCAAAATACTGAATAAATGGTCACTATCATCTATCATATTTCTTAAGGAAAGTTGAACCTACATTGCACAATATTTGAATCAAATTTCTGCAAAATCCAATATGTCTAAATAGACTTTTGTGAAAATGTTGGATTGAAAAGATCTGAATATGATTTTCTGAAATTATTTGTGATTCTGAAATCAGTTCTAGATGAATATGATACAATAACTCTTTGCTGATAATGAGTAGTTGCATAAATATGTTGAAAATTAGTTGAAACTTGAACTTAGCTCTCTGCATTACCCTATTTTTCTGAGAAAATATGCACTCTAAACTTATAAAATTAGTGAAATCAATTTAAAATTCTTTGAATATGGTTGTGAAAATCTGTGCACTTGTGCTTTTCTATCTGCAAAATGATATATGCCAATTATGCTGAAATGGTTTTCTGCTGAAATTACAGAGCTGTTGAAAAATTGATTGATAACTTGAAATGCTTCTTCTGCGTTAACATGAAATACTCTGAGAGTGTGCACTCTGACCTTATGGATAGGGATTTAACATGATTTGACTGTTAATACTTAAACTTGTGCAGTTGTGTGTTTATATGTGTATGATGAATTATCTTAACAGCAACCTGCATGGTTATAGTGCTAGAAAACTTGAAATTTTGCAAGTTATCTGATTGAACTTTCTTTGTTAAAATTTAAACTTTCTTCCTTCCAGAAACTACAAAATGGTTAGAACCTCTCTAAATACACCAGTTGGACCTTCTAAGAAGAAGCAAGTTGGATCTTCCAACACTCCAAGAAGGAGATCCAGCAAAAATCTTCAAGCTGGATCAGCGAAGAGGGCCAGAACTGATAATGTTTCACCCTCCTCACCCATTGAAATTTCTAACCCACCTCAGCCAAGAATAGTTGCACCTTCAACCTCCTCACCACCTCAGACCAGAACAGCTGCACCTTCAAGCTCTTTACCCACTGCAACACATGATCTAAGGTTCAGAAGCATTGCCCATGAAAACTTTTTCAAGGCAAATATTCTGAGGAGGAAGATTTTCCTAGACAGAGCCTTTGAGATAGCTGGGGGTAATTACCCAGAATATAAGGAGAAAATTCAAAAAAGGGATTGAGAATCCTTTTATTCTCCGGCTGGAATGGGTTGGAGGGAAATAACCCAGGAGTTTTACACCGATGTTATAAGGTTTAAAGGAGATAAATTTCCTAAGTTCCACACAATGGTGAAGGGGATGAGAGTTGACTTTGCTCCTGCAAACATAAACAGAGTTCTGAACATAAATTCTGCACAGCAGGCTGGACAGTTGGAATTTAATGTTTTTAAGAATAGTCCTCATAAGGACTATGTGGAAATTCTGCAAAGGATTGGGTGGCCAGGAACAACTTGGACGCTGAAGCAATCCAAGAAACCAAAATGCATTGTCACCAAACAGCTGCTGCCATTTGCCAAAGTGTGGAGCACTTTTATTCTGAACTCATTTATGCCAGTCAACCATAGTTCAACATTGGCTGTGAAAAGGGCAGAACTTCTTTTTGCAATTGTTAATGATTTGTATATTGATGTGGGAGAGGTCATTAGTGAATGTATTTTAAATATTCTAAAAATCAAGAGAGATTCACTTGCCTTTCCTTCATTAATAACATTACTTTGTGAGGATGCAGGGGTTGAAGTTGGAGAGTACCAAGAAAGAATTCAGTTGGCACCTCTCATTTCTGTCTCTATGGTAAAAGAAATATATGCTACCACTTCCTACACTGCAGCAGATCCAATTCCTTCTCAATTCAGAAAGAAAAAATCAATGATGATGAAGGACTCCTTGAAGGTAATGGCTGAGAGACAGAACCAGTTAGCAGAGAGGCAGACTGAGCTGCACAATAGTCTCAAGTCTAGGATTATGTTGCTGGAATGTGTTATGCTGAATATTAGTCAGAAATTAGGAATGACCAAAGATGAATTGTATCACACTAAAGATTTGGCAGGGAATGCTTAGTGCCTTCGTTCCTCAGTCTTCAAAGATTTGTCAATCTACAAAACTCATTTTCCACAGCTAGCTGAAGAGGTAGTGGAGGAGGAAGAAGAAGAATCCGAAGAAGAGGAGGAAGACACCTCAGAGGAGGAAGATGGAGCAGATGAATAGTTTAGGAATTTATTTTCTGTCATTAGGAATTTTGTAAATTTCTGTAGTTAAGTTTCAAACTTTTTGGGTTGTAATTACAATTTGGCATAATTTGGTTTAATTTTCATATCTCTGTTCTGCATATATATTAGCTCTCTAATTAATTGCCTTTTACTTGCCAATTGATCAAAATTTTGGTGTTTTGTGCAGAAATGTCACACTCACACAACACTTACACACAATGGATGATGACACTTGCACAAGCTGCCATGAAAGGGGGGTTTCATTCTCTACCTCTTATTCATGTGTTAGCTTCACATTACACTGAATTGTTTTTAAAAAACACCAAAATACTAGAATAGATATTAAATTGTTGGTTGTGAATCAAATGAAGTTAATTGATAATTCTGTGAATTATGTTTGAAATTGTCCTTTTTAAGTTATTTTTCCCATTCTCAACATGAGATCACACTTATATTTTAAAAAATGAGACAGTCTTGCCACTAGGTGCATATAATTCTGAAAAGTGAATTGTGAGTTCATGGATTAACATGCCACTTACACAACCCTAGTGAGACTTGAGTTGCATGTTTCTTTCTTATGTGTGATTGATCATATTTTGCTGCATTCTCTAAAACTTGTCTTGTTTCTTGGTTGAATATGTAATTTACAGTTTTCACATATATGATGAAGGTCATGTTTGATTATACCTAGTCAGCCTAAATGCCTTCCTTTATGATTGAATGTCTTAGTTCACCCCTTTGAGCTTAATATCCCTTTTCTTGAAATTACCTCATTATAACCCCTGCTGAAAAAACCAATTTACCATTCAAATGAAAAGAGGCATAGTGAGTTTAATCAAGAATGAGTTTTAAAACTAAGTTTGGGGGTTGCATCCACATTTTAATTGCTTAAGGACAAGCAATGTTCTAAGTTTGGGGTGGAGAATAGCAAGCTATCTAAGTTTGAGTTCAAAAAGTCAGAAAGAAAGAATAAAAGTGCTGCAGAAAAATGAAAAATCTTTGTAGCAAAGCTATGAAAAGAACAAAAGGTGAGTTCAAAAGAGAAGAATTACAGCAAAATGCTGCAGAAAAAGAGAGCAAGAAAAGAAGAAAATAGATGAAAATTCTGCTGCATGAAAAATTTTATTTGTTGCATAAGTGAGAGAATTAAGGAGAAATAACGCAGTTCCAGGCTAGTTTTAAAACAAATCACTCAAAATGCCTCTGATCTTCTGAAATTGTATGTATTATTTTCCATTTTCTTCAATACCTACCTTAACCTTAGCCTTGTTATAACCTGAAAAAAGTCCTCTGGATGTGTGATTACATGTATTAAGCAGAGGAGATTGAGAATATGGGCAAGCATATGGTAGAGTGTAGTGAAATTGATGATTTAGAGTGAAAACAGTACCCCAAACACTGTTGAGTGATGAGAGAAACACTTCGAAGTGAGCTGTGATCATGTTTATTAAATGTACTCACATGAACTTTGCTGATATATATGAACTGCGATAGCAAATTCTTGCCCAGAATTGATTAATGCAATATGACTATCATTATGAGTATTGGGATGAACAATTTAATTGAAAATTTTACAGAAAACACAGAATTAGAAATTGAAAAAATCTGAAATAAGCAGTTGGTGAACTGAATTTGAAAAATGGAAGAACTATCCTTAGTTTAGTTTGATTTGCTTGAGGACAAGCAAAAATTCAAGTTTCGGGTAGTGATGAATCCATATTTTTACTAGTATTTTACTATAGTTTTAATCCATTTGATAAGAAAAATATGTTGGAAAAAGCAGAAAAAAATCGTAAAAATAGAATGATTAAAGAATTTCTTTAAATACATAGTTAGTTAAGCATTTATGAATTTTCTGTGTAAAAATTAATAATTGAAGTGTGTTTTTGTAGACAATGCTGAGTAAAGACCATGAGGTTGGTAGATCAATGGAGAAATAGCAGAAAAGTAGCAAGTCTAGACTCAAAGAACATGGCTCATGGAGTTTAAGTTGGGCGTGGTTACTCTTGCCAGCGAAAGTGAGTGATTCATATCTTAAATGAGAAGTTGAGTGTGGGTGTGATCTCTTTTATCATTGAAAGTGAACATTCCAGAGAAGTTCAATCTCAGCAAAGTTGTGCGTTGTCACTCTCGCCAACAAAAGTGAACGTTCCAGAGAAGTTTCAGACTCAGCAGGCCTTGCGTAACCACTTTTATCAGCGAAAGTGAGCATTCCAGAGAAGGCAGAATTTCAGTATACTCTGCATGGTCACTCTTGCTGGTAAAAGTGAGCATTCCAGAGAAGGCAAAGTTTCAGAGTATTCTACGTAACCACTTTTATCATTGAAAGTGGATGTTCTAGAGAGTCCTCAACTTGGCAAGTTGTGTGTGACCACTTTTACTCATAAAA